GTCACTAGTGGGGTACTTCAGGGATCTGTACTTGGACCCATTCTCTTTAATATTTTTATTAGTGATATTGCAGAAGGTCTTGATGGTAGGGTATGTCTTTTAGCTAATGATACTAAGATATGTAACAGGGTTGCTGTTCCGGGATGGATAAGAAATGGCAAATGATTTAGGTAAACTAGAAAAATGGTCAGAGTTGTGGCAACTGACATTTAATGTGGATAGGTGCAAGATAATGCATCTTGGACATAAAAACCCGAGGGCAGAGTACAGAATATTTGATAGCGTCCCAACCTCAACATCTGAAGAAAGGGATTTAGGGGTTCATATTTCTGATGACCTAAAGGTAGGCAGACAATGTAATAGAGCAGCAGGAAATGCTAGCAGAATGCTTGGTTGTATAGGGAGAGGTATTAGCAGTAGAAAGAGGGAAGGGCTCATACCATTGTACAGAACACTGGTGAGACCTCACTTGGAGTATTGTATGCAGTACTGGAGACCGTATCTCCAGAAGGATATTTATACTTTAGAGAGAGTTCAGAGAAGGGCTACTAAACTGGTTCATGGATTGCAGGATAAAACTTACATGGAAAAGTTAAAGGAACTTAACATGTATAGCTTGGAAGAAAAACAAGACAGGGGGGATATGATAGAAACATTTAAATACATAAAGGGAATCAATACAGTTTCGGAGGAGACTATATTTAAAAGAAGAAAAACTACCACAACAAGAGGACAAATTAGAACAGCAAATGTTTTTAAAAAATATCAGGAAGAATTACTTTACTGAGAGGGAAGTGGAAGCATGGAATGGCCTTCCAGCTGAAGTGGTAGAGGTTAACACAGTAAAGGAATTTAAGCATGTGTTGGATAGGCATAAGGCTATCCTAACTATAAGATAAGGCCTGGGACTAATTAAAGTATTTAGAAAATTGGGCAGACTAGATGGGCTGAATTGTTCTTATCTGCCGTCACATTCTATGTTTCTGTGTTTCATATTATCCAGTATAGGTTAGTTGCGTTGCATAATTGAATAGTATGCTCATAGAAATATTATCAGAAGAAGCCTCAGGGCACAACTGATATGAATCACCATTAATAACTCCCATCATGATAAGGCAGGTTAGTTAGAGCCTATCATCTCCACATAGATCTTTAGAATAAAAAATCTATGGGTATGACTGTCCATAATTAAAAAAAAAAAAGAAAAATTCCAAGGATTACTGTGGACTCCATTCATTCCTAAAATAGCATCTAAGTCATTATATGCTTCCTGTAATATACAGGAGATGGGAGAGGAATGGTATATGGGAGGTGGTAGAGGAAAAGTTAAGCATACTATGTATAAAATAGTAGGTTTATTAAATTTTAAAAAGCTGGAAACAACAGATATATACGTAAAAACAAATAAACAAACTGTGGATAAAATAAGTCCTCACTTAACTCGTTTTGCCAAAGGCTTTCTTAAAAGTGGTGATTTTTATTTAATAAACCTAGTATTTTATACATCATCACCTGTAAGTACATCCTTCATACAGCCCTCATCATCCTTCCGGTTTCAGCATATATCTCTGGGTAGGGATTGTTCCACCTCAAGATCTTCATACCAGAGCATAATATTGTTCTTGGTGACGTAAGTAGGATACTTACCTCCATAAATACCAATTGTTTGTATATACTATACCATTGGATTTCCTATTTTGTATTTTTTCACATATTCCTACTCCATCCTGAAAACAAACTCCAAAGATTTATATTCATAGATGGTAATTATTCCATCCGGGCCTTCATAATAGAGCTGAGTGTGCACTTTTGCCCATCTTCTGTACTCATCATAACCTGTTTCTTGCTTTGTACTTATAGATTCATATACTAAGAATATCATCTGTATCGTATGTATATATAATCTTAAGCGCTGATCACCTCCTGTCTGTTATCTTTACTATCCACTTCACAAGGGTGGAGAGAACCCCTTGGTGATTTGCTGCTAATTATAGATATTGAGCACTTATTCTCACCAGTTTTTTCCATAATGTGTGTGCGCATGTGTGCTAGTGAGTGAGCTTCTGTGTGTGTGCATCTGCTAGTGAGTGAGTGAGCTTATATGTGTGTGTATGCAACTGCTAGTGAGTGAGCTTCTGTGTGTGCGAGCATCTGCTAGTGAGTGAACTTCTGTATGTGTGTGTGTATCTGCTAGTGAGTGAGCTTCTCTGTGTGTGTGTGTGTGTGTGTGTAGGTGTGCATCTGATAATGAGTGAGCTTGTGTGTGTGTGTATGTGTGTGCCTACTAGTGAGTGAGCTTGTGTGTGTATGTGCCTGCTAGTGAGTGAGCTTGTGTATGCGTGTATGTGCCTGCTAATGAGTGAGCTTGTGTGTATGGGTATGTACTAGAGAGGGAGCTTCTGTGTGTGTGTGGGTGTGTGTGTGTGTGCTAGTGAGGGAGCTTCTGTGTGTGTGTTTTAGTGAGGGAGCTTCTGTGTGTGTGTGTGTGTGTGTGTGCTAGTGAGGGAGATTCTGCATGTGTGCGCCTGCTAGTGAGTGAGATTGTGTGTTTGTGTGTGTGCCTGCTAGTGAGTGAGCTTGTGTATGTGTGTGCCTGCTAGTGAGTGAACTTTGTTTGTCTGCTATGTCTGCTTGTATGTGTGTCAGTGAGCTTGTCTGTAGGGATCATGTGTGTGTGTTAGTGAGCTTGTCTGTAGGAAGCATGAGTGTGTCTGAGCTTGTCTGTGGTAAGCATGTGTGTGCAGTGAGCTTGTGTGCAGTAAACATGTGTGTGACCGTGAGTGTGACGAAGTGCCCTTCACCACTTGATCTTGGAGAGGCCTGCTTGCCAGCCTCTTGCCTTGTGACTATAGCCCCTGGGAGATTGTTCCCTTTAAAAACATTATTTGGGCATGTTGGATTTTATTGTACTGTTTGTACCCCTTTAAAAACTCTGGGAAAGGATCTGCACTTTTGTTATGGCACTTCAGATGAAGCCGAAGTAGTCGAAGTGGCCGCCATTCGGGAAAAAAGAACACGTGGCGGCGGCCATGTTAATTTAGCCGAACGCGGTTAGCGGTGTTTTGCCGTCGAGTTCATGGAGCTGAAATCGGCTACTCGACAGCATGAACACAACTGAAGTTCTACCTTCCCTGGAACTATTACATTCGAATGGAGTCAAATGGCGTTCGACCATTCGAACGCCACAGTAATGAGGCTATTTGTACGAACGGCACCCGTTCATGCATTCGAACGGCATTTGAATTGTAATGAATAGACCTGCCACACAGCTCAAATCTATGGAACTGTTTTGGGCATGAAAATGTGTGTGCAGTCGGTCAAAAGAGTATTCCAGAAAATACTGTTTTTCTAAAATCTAAAGATTATGTTTTTGTGTGGTGTGACTCTCATTAAACCACACTGACTGGTGATCACTAGATACTAAACTTTCACCTACAGTAATATCTGATCTTCAGTTGTTAACACTAAATCTAGTATGGACTCCTTACAAGTTGGCTCCTCAATGACTTGTTTTAGAGATAATCCCAGTAGAGAGTTTAGAGTATGTGTGCCCCTGGCACATGCAGTTATTTTGGTTTTCCAGTTTACATCAGGAAGATTAAAGTCACCCATGATGATAACTTCCCCCTTCATTGTCATTTTAGCAATTTCCTCAACTAGTAGATTATCTAGCTCTTCTTATCCAGGGGGCCTGTAAATCACACCTACACGAGTTACTGTGTGATTACCACATTCTAACATATCCTAAACTGATTCTATGTTTGCCTCATTAACTTTTATTAGGTTAGATGTTATGCTATCCTTCACATACAGGGCCACATGGCTTTCTTGCCTTCTCTGTCTTTTCTATAAGAGTACCCTGGTATTGCTGTATCCCAGTCATTTTTCTCATTATACCATGTCTCAGTAGCAGCCACTAAATCTACATTCTCAGCTGCCATTTATGCCACAAATTCATGGATCTTATTCCCTAAACTGCGAGCATTTGTAGAACTGGCTCTAAGCTTATCATTTTTTAACACACTTGCTTCAGTTACTTTGTGTCCTTGTTTTTTATTATTTATAATAAGTTTTTATTGTTTTAAGTATCAACAGGTAAATGGGACACAGAAGAAAATTAGGAAGGGGAGGTAGCATGTTTTCATTTTAACAGTAAACCATCTCAAGGCTTTTACAATTTATTCAAGTTTTAACACAGAGGTAATTTGTAGAGATGAGCGGACACCTGGATGTTCGAGTTTGCCGGGTTCGAACTTGATCCCGAACCCGAACTTTTGGGCACTAAAATGGCTTTAAAAAAGTCCTGGAAAAGGCTAGAGGGCTTCAAAAGGAAGTAAAATGGGGGTAAGAGTAGGACAAGTGCCCTGAAAACAATTGGGGTAGCCCCCAAAATATTGGGACATATAAAAAAAGAAAACAAAGAATAAGGGCACTTGAGTATAAATGTCTATTCTGCACAAGGTACAGACAGGTCTGGTGGGATCTATGCCTGGTTCATTTTAATTTCACTTTGGTGAGCTTGTCCATGTTGGCTGTGAACAGGCAGCTGCGCTTGTCTGTGATAACGCCCCCTGCTGTGCTAAGCACACGTTCAGACAATACACTGGCTGCAGGGCAGGCCAGCACCTCCAAGGCATAAAGAGCAAGCTCAGGCCATGTGCCCAATTTGGAGACCCAGAAGTTGAATGGAGCAGACCCATCAGTCAGTACGTGTAGCCGTGTGCACACGTTCTGTTCCACCATGTTGCTGAAATGCTGCCTCCTGCTAAGATGTTCAACTTAGTCAACTGGTGGTGCTGGTTGTTGTGGTGTGCTGACAAAGCTTTTCCACATTTCGGCCATGCCAACCCTGCCTTGTGAGGTGCTGGCGGTGCACCAGCTACGTTGGTGACCTCTTCCTCCTTCTCTGCCTTCGCCTTGTGCTTCCACTGAGCCCCCGGTGTCAGCTGGGAATGCCCTCAGCAGCGCGTCTACCAGCGTGCACTTGTAGTCACACATTTTCAGATCACGCTCCAGTGAGGGAATTAAGGATGGCACGTTGTCCTTGTAACGGGGATCCGGCAGGGTGGCCACCCAGTAATCAGCAAAAGTTAGAATGTGGGCAACTCGGTAGTCGCTGCGCAGGCACTTTGGTGACTCTAGATAACCTCGGCCCGATCGCACGTCCCCGTGACGGCGACAATGCATTCGGATGTCTGCCCTATCAACTTTCGATGTTACTTTCTGCGCCTACCATGATGACGACGGGTAACGGGGAATCAGGGTTCGATTCCGGAGAGGGAGCCTGAGAAACGGCTACCACATCCAAAGAAGGCAGCAGACGCACAAATTACCCACTCCCAACGCGGGGAGGTAGTGAAGAAAAATAACAATACAGGACTCTTTTGAGGCCCTATAATTGGAATGAGTACACTTTAAATCCTTTAACGGGGATCTATTGGAGGGCAAGTCTGGTGCAGAACGACTGACCCGGGTGTGCTGCAGCTGAAACTGCACTGGCCCAGTCTCTCCAGCATGTGCATGGTGGAGTTCCACCCTGTGGACACGTCGCATATGAGGCGGTGAGCGGGAAGGCCGAAGTTACGCTGCAGCTCAGACAGCTGAGCAGCAGCAGGGTGAGAACACCGAAAGCGCGCACAGACACTACAGTGAAACTGCAAATGGCTCATTAAATAAGTTATGGTTCCTTTGATCGCTCCATCTGTTACTTGGATAACTGTGGTAATTCTAGAGCTAATACATGCAGACGAGCGCCAGGGGACGGCCGCTCCGCTTTTGCACCCATTTGCAAAAAAAAATTCTCTCCCATCTTCTGTGGGTTATTGCATTTTTAAGATGTAGACTTATTGTATCACACTAGCCATGCACAGGTAGATTGTCTGGCACGTTGTTTTGGTGTTTGGTTTTTAACTTTGTAGTTGTGTCTTTACACAATATAGAAATGTATATTAATGCTTCTGTATATGAAGCGATCACAATAACACTTATTTTTCACTTTTTAAAAAAAAATCTGGCTAAACAAAAATTGGTAATTAACAATATGACATCCGAAAAAACACAAAGGATGCTGTATGATTTTTTTTTAAAAAGAACACACTACATGAAGGTCCTGTTCACTAGAGTGTGTAGTCATGAATGTAACCAGTAAAACTTTGGTTTTACAGCCACTGTTTGGCCCATACATATTTTAAAACTTGTTTCATTTTGTTATAGCATGACTTGTAGTCTTGTTTTTAACTTGTCTATAATACATATTTTTGTATGACACAATGTGTTTTTTCATCGATTATTGAATTTTAATGGTCTAAGATAATTAACATGTCAACAGGCAAACGTAACCCGAATGATTTGTCTCAGTGTTGCCTTCTATACAACCTGCACCATAGGCAACATTTATTTGTCTTTAGACTTTCTTGAGAAGCAGTAACTAACCAGGGTTGCACACATACACCAGATATGAAGCGCACACCCCAAATGTACTATTTAGCAACAAAAAAAATTCGAATTTTTAAAAATGTAACCACAGTATTTGCCGGTTCTATTTGACTCTCACATATGAAGTGCACTGCAGACCGCAAATGTACTATTTAGCACAAAAAAATTTAAATTTTTAAAACTGCGCTGTAACCACTGTATTTCACGGTTCTATTTGACTCTCAGATATGAAGTGCACACCCCAAATGTACTATTTAACACACACAAAAATGAGAATTTTTAAAACTGTGCTGTAACCACAGTATTTGACGGTTCTATTTGACTCTCAGATATGAAGTGTACACCCCAAATGTACTATTTAGCACCCAAAAAATTAGAATTTTTCAAAGTGCGATGTAACCACAGTATTGGATGGTTCTATTTGACTCTCAGATATGAAGTGCACACCCCAAATGTACTCCTTAGCACCAAAAAAAATTGAATTTTAAAAACTGCTCTGTAACCACAGTATTTGACGGTTCTATTTGACTCTCAGTTATGAAGTGCACCACAGGCCGCAAATGTACTATTTAGCACAAATCTTTTTGTAATTTTTAAAACTGCGCTGTAGCCACAGTATTTGACGGTTTTATTTGACTGTCAGATATGAAGTACACACCCTAAATGTACCATTTAACACCCCAAAAAATGTGAATTTTTAAAACTGCGCTGTAACCACAGTATTTGACAGTTCTATTTGACTCTCAGATATGAAGTGCACCGCAGGCTGCAAATGTACTATTTAGGACAAAAAAATATATATTTTTAAAACTGCTCTGTAACCACAGTATTTGACAGTTCTATTTGACTCTCAGATATGAAGTGCACCGCAGGCTGCAAATGTACTATTTAGGACAAAAAAATATATATTTTTAAAACTGCTCTGTAACCACAGTATTTGACAGTTCTATTTGACTCTCAGATATGAAGTGCACCGCAGGCTGCAAATGTACTATTTAGGACAAAAAAATATATATTTTTAAAACTGCTCTGTAACCACAGTATTTGACAGTTCTATTTGACTCTCAGATATGAAGTGCACCGCAGGCCGCAAATGTACTATTTAGGACAAAAAATGTTTAATTTTTAAAACTGCTCTGTAACCACAGTATTTGACGGTTCTATTTGACTCTCAGATATGAAGTGCACCGCAGGCCGCATATGTACTAGTTAGCACAAAAAAGTGTGATTTTTTTTAAAACCAACCATGTAACAGTAGTATTTAAGGGACTTATTAGACTGCAAGAAATGCAGTATGCATATGCACTATTTAGCACCAAAAAAATTGCAGTATTTAAAAATGCCTAAATGTTGCCCACTGAGCTACCAGAACAGGATTAAAGTAATGTGCACTGGACTCTCTGTGGCACTGGGATCAGGGCAGGGTACAAAAATGTAGTATAGCACCCATATAAATAATCGCTGTAGTTTGCAGATTCAACACCAGAATTCTTTCGTAATCTGTCCCTCACAGCTGCAGCATCCTCTCCCTACACTAATAACAGCTTATGTGACATGCAGCTCTACATGAATCCAGTGTATATATAGAGGCTGGGCACATGCTTCACTGACCAATCACAGCCATACCATTAATAGCCATGGCTGTGATGGCTTCTAAGGGCACATGAGTCAAACGCTTGTTGATTGGCTGCCCTGCAGCCTTTCAAAACTTGCCATTAAATCGCCGAACACCGAACTCCAACCTGAACATACACTGAAATGTCCGTGTTCGGGTCCGGGGTCCAAAAACCGTAATGTTCGGGTTCGCTCAACTCTAATTATAACCAAAATCGGTATGAGATACTCTGGTACTAATGCATCTTGTTTCCCAAAGTATAATGTCACAAAAGTCACTCATAGATCACAGATACAGATCTAGAGTGATAAGATCTTCTCTGTAATCTACAATACAAAACGAACAACCATAGTGCTCTTTATTTAAAACGTGGTTATTTATTTGTGAAGAAAGTTAAAATAAACCCACAAAGATGCAACGTTGTCAAGCAAATTGAGGGTATTTGGAATCCACAGGATCAAATGAAAACTATGGTACAGTGGTAAACCTCACTCCGGCCAGCTTGGAGATAGACATGCAATGGAAGAGATGTGCATTCCTTCGCGTACGTTACACTTAGTTTTCCCAACCTGCGTTCCACTGGGACCCGTTATCAAGATGCTCGTGCAAGCCTTACGCATTTCGTGACCCGGCAGTGTCACTTCATCAGCAGCTGGTATCTGTCTAAGTCTGACCATCTTGCATTTATATCACTTAATTTGCTGTTTATGGACCACAGCTATATTGTTCAAACAAGTTAATATCAAGATGTACACAAGTGACTGGAGATACACCTATTATACATAATGGATTTCAATAAATCCTGTACAAAATAAAAAATAATGTAATAGAAATAATCTGCATAAAAAATGCACTAAAAATTCCTTAATTACATTGTAGATACATTTGAATTAAACAAGCAGAAATACTAGTTCCTTATAACTAGTGTAATCCAAACAATTGATTTACTATCTGGTCTAAACCTATCTATATGAATGTGAAACAAAGCCAAAAAATATATAGCTAAAAATTATATATAGCCCAAAATATATATATAGTCATATAAATGAAAGAAATATGAAAATTTTAAAATAGCAAGGTATTTCTAACACATACCATTTGTAATGGCAATATTTGTGAATGGCATCTGGTATAAATACATTTTTTTACTAATGTGCACAAGTCCATAGTACTTCCAAGGTATAAAATTAAGTGATCTTAATTATGGTAAAATCCGTACAAATGGAAACACTCTGTATATCTGGGTATATACAGAGGATAAGACAGTATATATTATAAGATGTATTAAGTATTAAGATGAAACCTATTCTGCTAAAAAAAATTGATGAGTGTATATGGCTCAAACAAAAAGGGGGGGAGTGGGGGGCTAAACAAAATAGGGCTAGGTACATCCTTTGGTATTCCACCCGTGTTGAGAATAGATAGGGTATAGTTTTTAATTGAGAGCACTATGTTTGTTCATTTTGTATTGCAGATTACAGAGAATATCTTATCATTCTAGATCTGTATCTGTGATCTACGAGTGACTTTTGTGACATTATACTTTGGGAAACAACATTACTTTGCAATAACAGTAATGTATCTTGATAGTTGTAACATAGTTGCTAATATAATTTGCTGAAATGTATCTAATGAACTGTTGATTTACAGACTTTCATTGGATGATATTCAATGTAAGACTCTATATCTCAAGTAGTATGTTTTCCATGCTATTTATCTACATGTTTAGGCTTTAGCCAATTATTAGCCGATTGTTCATTAATATTTGGTACTATTCACCCCCTTGTGAAAGTTTTAGTTCCATAACATAATTTATTAAGCAATCCCACAGGTGATCTCCTAGTACGTTTAGGACTACATTCCTATTTCTTAATACATATTTTCGAAGCCATTATTGGGACTTATCTATACTAGTTGAGAACGTCTGTGTGTAAGCTCATTATTCTATGGAGTAGAATCCCACAGAATAATTCCTGTTCACTATCCAATTTTTCCAATCTATCAGGCCAGCTTTGACTGTCCATTCTATCTTTTTTAATTATTCCTGCATTTTTATATATTCAATAAACCTGGATGCCATTGTATATATTTTAATGCTTTTGTCATTTAGTTATGCCACTATGGTCCATGTCAATTCCTCATCATTGGATGTGTAAATTTTGGAGTCATAATTAATGCAAGCTAATAATAAAAATGATAGAGCTATTTAAGGTAAAACCACTCATTCCTCTTTGCTCTGTCTTGATCTCTGTTATCGAAAAGTAGGTTTTTGATAGTGGTGTGCATTTTCTGGGGGGTTTTTTTGGATGTGGTTTGTGGAATGCTAAACCTTGACTATGTTGACTCACTTTCCAATATTTATACATCCATTAACCTCAGTCTGTCTGTGTCTTTGTCTGCTAGCAGACTGCATTCTATGCTGACATTCTCCAAGCCCTGCTACTGTTTTTTTTTTTTGTGGCTTTTTTTTATAATTCTTAGAATAAAGACATAGAATAAAAATACAGAGTTACAATATAGCTTATCTAGTTATGGCTCTCAATACCACTGCACTTGTTTTTTTTTTTTGGTTAGCATGCAAGGATAACACGAAAAGTTTACGAATACAATAAATTGCTTGTCAGGATTGTCATACATTTGTAAAATTAAAAGTAATAGAACAGGTAAAATAAGATGAGCACTGTTCCTACAGATACCACTAAGCAAGGTGACAGATCCTAGCCTGTGCTGCATACAGACAATTTTTAGAGGTTAAAGAATACACAGCGAGTTATATCAAGCTAAACTATTCAGACAGGCTCAATCTAAATATAGGAAATCATAAATGGTATCAAATAGCAGCACATTGCAGGAAAAGGAATGGCATGAGATACCAAGGCAAAAATCAAATCTAGTATAAACTGTAGATTATCAGGTAGTGTTATGGGACCACTGTGCTTTGGGGCACCCCGACATTAGAGTAATAAGCATCCCCCTTGTGTCATTGGCAGGAGATTCAGTTTGAGCAGTGCATCTTTCAGATAATACAGGTTTTATTCATTATGTCAATGTAGCATCACAAGAGTATAAACCGGAGTGTGAGTGGGACATGATTGGTGAAGACGGAAAAGAAGAAGGAACACCTTTTTATATTTTTCCCTCCATTCTTATGTGCCCTCTGCCACCTTGTGGGTCTACTATTGGGTGTAGGGAACAGTAAGGTTGGTCTGGTGGCTTTGGGGGGTATTATCTCCTCTGTGAGGTGCGTTGCACTAAGGGGTAGATTCAGGTGCATATCACATAGTGTGGTGGCTTTGTGCATGGGGATTTGCGATAAGGAGTACGATTTGCTACTATTTGTGGTGTGTTGCCTTAGCTGTACTGGTCGGTATGTTGCAAGAAGTGGCTGTTGCTGGCGTGGGTGGTTGTGTGCCTCGAGCTTATCCGTGTGTGTGTTACCCCATAACCGCTGGGTGCAGGGGGGCAGGTAATCGGTTCTGCAACATCAGGGGCTACTGGGCCTCTATAATTTTGATAACTCTGATATGCTCAATGGTAGGGAGAAACTAAATATAGAGATAGCGGGGACAACAAATATATATACAATAAGGTTATCCATGGCTTAGTCCCGTGGCTGTGTGTCACCCGGGTGGGTGGCCTCCAACTGAATTTTTTTCCCCTAGTCAAGTCTCTGTTGATGAGAGGCTCTCATGTTGTGGCACAAAGGGGACCTCCATCTCAGGATTCCATGTTCCGTTCATGGTGCTTCCAGTGATGTTGAGGTCAAGTGCTTCTATCCCGAGGGGCCGCATAGATTGTAGGCGCCTGCATGAGTGCGCGGAGTGTGTGGGTAGTTCCGTTCCTGGTTACAAGTAAGGTGCTCTGCATTCCCCAGTGGTATGGTACTCCTTTGGACCAGAGGTGAGTCGTGATGGGGCCCATTTCTCTTTGCCACTGCAGTGTTGCCCTATTTAGGTCTTGAAAGAAATTTAGTGAGGAGTCCTCAAACTGCAGTGGGGTTTTACCTCGTACTGCTCTTAAAATATTGCCTTTGTCATTCGCAAAGGTGCAGCGGACGATTACATAGTTACATAGTTACATAGCTGAAAAGAGACTTGCGTCCATCAAGTTCAGCCTACCTCACATTTGTTTTTTGCTGTTGATCCAAAAGAAGGCAAAAACCCAGTTTGAAGCACAATTTTGCAACAAGCTAGGAAAAAAAATTCCTTCTTGACCCCAGAATGGCAGTCAGATTTATCCTTGGATCAAGCAGTTATTACCCTACATTGAAAGATTATATCCTTGAATATTCTGTTCTTGCAAGTATGCATCTAGTAGCCGTTTGAACATCTGTATGGACTCTGATAAAACCACTTCCTCAGGCAGAGAATTCCACATCCTGATTGTTCTTACGGTAAAAAAACCTTTCCTTTGCCTTAGACGAAATCTTCTTTCTTCCAGTCTAAACTCATGGCCTCGTGTCCTATGTAAAGTCCGGTTTGTGAATAGATTTCCACACAATGGTTTGTATTGGCCACAAATATATTTGTATAATGTTATCATATCCCCTCTCAGGCGACGTTTTTCTAAACTAAATTACGTCCCATGGCTCAGAGGTGGAGGGCTTGGCCAAGCTGGTGAGTCGGAATATGCCATCAAGTGTGACTTTTTTGGCCACCACTGCTGGGAGTATGGCGGCTAGCAGCCTCCGGGTGTAATGTGGGAGTTCTTCAGCTCCTACCGCCTCTGGTATGCCTCGTATTTTAATATTATTCCGCCGTAGCTGCTCTTCAAGGGTTGTCAGCTAGTGTGCCAGTGCCTGGTGGTGAGTATTGAGTTGCTGTACTGTGCCCTTGAGGTGGGACACCTCAGTATGTACATCCAGGATGCTTTCCTCCATGGCCTTAATGCGGTCTGTGTTCACATGGATTTCCATGGGTACACGTGCAATGTCTGCTGACATCATTTTATGGAGGTCTGCAAGGAGTAGTTTGAGGTCACCTTTAGTGGTTGGTGCCATGCTGTCCCCTGCCGTAAGCCTAGGGATGGCTTATGGTGGGGTGTTTTCCCGGTTTCCATGTCCCTGCTCTCTGACCCCGACAGTGGCACCGCTGTGGTGTGGTCGGCTTCTGCTGTTGGAGTCTTCGAGGCTGTGGGTCTCTTGAGCATAGCCCCTATGTCCCAGTCGGGTTTCAACATTTCATAGTTGGAGTGTCGGGCAGCGGGGGCGACCAGAGCTGTTCCGGGATGTTTGGTCTGTGCGCTACGATGAGGGAGTCAAGGCCTGCAACTGTTTTTTAAAGCCCTGCCACACGTTAACACTTCAGAAATTTGTCAGAAGTGTCCCTTTGAGTAATACTCTATAACACTCATAAATCTGCAAGACCACTTTTATAAATAAATTTTAAAGCTGTAGAGCTCCATATTATCAACCACAACACTAACACTCAATATCCGCTTCTATCCGGCATAACTAGTGATAGGACACTTTACATTCTAATACATTTATGTGAAAACTAAATATGATTGCATAATTCCCTCTTGTTTGCAAGTACACTTGTTATTTAGTGGAATTTATGTAATGGAATATGTAATGTAAAAATAAAAATTTCTCAGAATATATATAAGCAATGGTTACAAATTGTAATTACAGTAGTGGGTAATCCAGCATGCAGTGCAGCACTTTGTCTAATAGTGATGTCGCGAACCCGAAATTTTCGGTTCGCGAACGGCGAACGCGAACTTCCGCAAATGTTCGCGAACCGGCGAACCGCCCGAAACGCCATTGACTTCAATGGGGAGGGGAATTTTAAAACACACAGGGACTCTTTCTGGCCACAATAGGGATGGAAAAGTTGTTTCAAGGGGACTAACACCTGGACTGTGGCATGCCGGAGGGGGATCCATGGTAAAACTCCCATGGAAAATTACACAGTTGATACAGAGTCTGGTTTTAATCCATAAAGGGCAGAAATCACCTAACATTCCTAAATCACAATCAATATGGATTGACACCTGACATATGACATGTTGACACCTTGACATATGGATTGACACCTGTCCTCAGAGCCCCTGATGCACATGGACACAGAGCAGAATAGAGACTGGTACCCCTACATAGGGTCACTTGGCAGATATGGATTGACACCTGTCCTAAGGATCCCTGATACACACTGACACAGAGCAGAATAGGGACTGTTCCCCCTACATCGGGTCACTTGGCAGATATGGATTGACACCTTGTTACAAACTGCTATTTGTAACGGGCCCTTTAAATGGCAAATTGCCCTGTTTCCCTGGTTGTGGAGAAGCCTCTTTGCCAGCCTCCTCCCGCATGACTATGGCCCCTGGGAGATTGTGAAAATGTATGCACTTTTATTTGGTGTGTATGGCCCCTTAAGACTGTCGGTGGGCATATTGGGGCTTATGGACTCTTTATGTGACTGGTGCTGGCCCTTTAAACACCTTTTGGGACATCAGAAAGATTGGGACACTGCCCCTTTAAGGCCGTGTCCCCAGACTTGTTGGGGACACGGCCCCTTTAAGACGGTGTCCCCAGACCTGGTGCAAACCCT